ATATATATATATATATATATATATATATATATATATATATATATATATATATATATATATATATATATATATATATATATATATATATATATATATATATATATATATATATATATATATATATATATATATATATATATACATATATATATATATATATATGCTTTTCTATCAAGGCTGTGAACCGAAATACAATATTTAGCGATACAGACCCACCCCTCAGATTCAATATCTAAGAACTTTGTGTTGGTAATAGTTGTAGGCATTTTCCTTTTTAGTATATGTACATAAAACCTTCAATTATTTATTCCATATACCGAGTGAAGCCTCCCAAGCATTTTCTTTGCTTTAAAGTTTATGTCTGTGTGTTCTGTCACCGTGTCTTGCTCACGACCTTAACTTCGACTGGATAGATAGAAGCACGTACATTCTGGAATGCTTACAACAGTCTCAACATCGTAGATATTCAATAGATCACGAACACCTATGTTATCTCTAATATGTTCTTCGACACGTACCACAAATCATCGCCTTATAAGTACAGCAGTCTGCACGATGCATTATTGTATACGCTTTATTCGTTATCGTATATTGTTCGAGTTCTGATTATTAGCGATAACAGGGAGATGATGATGTACTATGATTCCGACCAGGGTGACCTAGCACTCGAACGCTATATCAATCCCATGACCCTAACCAATTCCCCTATCCAACCCGTATGCTAGGCTGGTTCAAAACTAGCGCACACATCAACCATACCGGAGCTGATGGGCGAGACCATACACGAAGTGCAGGTGGTTACCGAGCGGGCATTCCTTCTAACTCGCCTTGCTTTCACGTTGCTCAATTACATGGGCGTAGGCTGGCGTTGGGTGACCAAATTATTCCAGATGCTCACATTTGTAGTGCTGCTTCTGCCAGCCTTCCTAGAGATTCTCTTCTGGCTCTTGCGAGACGATAATGTGCTGTTAAATGTGCGATACGGGCCGGAGTCGAGAAATTCGCTCGATATATACAAGCCAACTGAGAAAGGTATGTGTCTAGCTGCAGGATGTCCACATAAACATAGATTGCGTTAACACGTATATTCGGACTGAAACAGTGCAAGGGTAGATACTTTAATACCTCAGCAATATGGCGGGTACGTATCAGCGAATGGTTGTTTTTCTTCGCAGCGGAGGAATTCGCAACCAATCCGAGTGAGCCGTGTCCGACCTCCGTGTTAGCGAGTTTGTTTCTGTAAGCTGTATGAACTTATCACCTTTGGATCGATTGGTTGTCAGTGCACAGAGCCGACTTTCGTATTTGCTCTGCATTGGCTGATTGATGTCAATTCGTTTGCATACCGAAAGTTCCACGTACGTGGGTAGGGCCTATTTGCAGAGGTTGGGGTTTTTTTCTTCTAGTCTGCGAATAGATTTCATCAAGCCTACTCAATGAACTCTCAAATGTACGGTTCAACGAACACCCGAATGTCCAGCTCAAACATCCCCCATCTCCGTATCACTCTACTACACCGCTTCATGGTCGCTAATATATATGTATATACATATACATATATCTCCCAGGGAAGGCCTTATTGCCGAAAGAGAAGACCAAGAACGGCGTGCCGGTGATTGTGTTCCTGTCGGGGGGTGCGTGGATCATCGGTTACAAGTGTTGGGGTGCGTTGATGGGCAAAGAGTTTTCTGAGCACGGCGTGATGTTTGTCACACCCGACTACCGCAACTTCCCACAGGTACGGTTCTGTGCAGAGTGGAATGGATGTGCATGGTAGTGGTAGGCGTCTGGTTCAGTGTTTTTTTTTTTACCCGCCTGGCTGTCTCGCTGTGTCATTTCTTTCAATATGTAGTGTCTTTTCTTTCAATTGAATATCAGATTGCTTTATTTCTCACGCGGAATATGTGTATTGTTCGCTGCTGCGGTATAATTATTGTGTCTCGCACTAAACAGTTCTATACTAAGCGATAGCTGCATAAATGCTTGAAAGGTCGGAGGTCCGTTGCTGTATGGTGTGCCAGACTTGGCCGTACGACTCGCAGGACAATAGTTTCCAAACCTTGCTCAAATGTTCCGCGCACACTAATTTGCTTTCTGGTACTGCCTATCCCTGAAAACGGTACACAGGGACGTATAGTTGACATGCTGGAGGATGTCAATGTGGCGATTCGATGGATCTTCAAGAACATTCACAGGTACGGAGGGGATCCCAATCAAATCTTTCTCGTAGGGCAGAGTGCTGGAGCTCATATTGGAGCGCTCTGCTTACTCACGGAGGCGGAGCGGGAGCGGAGGCATAAGCTGGCGAAGGAGGTATGTGTGTGCTAAGGGGTTGTTTTGGACACTCGTTATATCAGGTTCGTGTTTAACTGGCGGTGACAGGTTCAGTTGAGTGGTTGCGTAGGTGCCATATCGAACTCCAATTATACACAATCTCAAGTTGTTAACGGAATGAATGAGGTGATAAAGTTACTATATCATCGATTTGAAGAATCGTCGTCATGGCGACTCCATCGATAGCGACCTTAAGTAAAAAATTCGTGTTAGTGATAGTACGACACCAGAACCTGCGGCATCATCTTGTCTGTGCGCGTGGACCGTACGTGTAAGTGTCACGAGGACGTATATGTCGATGTGCAGATTGACTGTGTGCGCTCACATGTGTTTTATTTGGCCGCTCTCCCAGGAGAGGTCCTTGAGCCGCACGTCTGAACCCAGCTATACCGGTGCGGCTTATCAGACCAAGCACAGCGAAGCCTCGGGTGTGTGGAATGGGTATCGCCATGACTTCAGAGAGAAAGACGATCGCCTGCGTTGGCGCGTGTCCAAGGTGAAGGGTTACATTGGCATCAGTGGTGCGTATGATCTGGCTGGTCTGGCCAACTATCTGCACACTAGAGGACTGTATCGCAGGTTCGTGCCGAGTGTGTGATGGTCCGGTGAGGTTTGTCTCATACGAGCGTGCTAGCCGAAATTTACGTTTAGGCGTGTAATGTCGTGAACTTGTTTGGGGGTTTTGTTCTGAAATTGTCTTGCTGAGTGTTTATGGCCCGTGGTATGTTTATACCATCCGTGTACTGGCTATATCTCTTATACTGCACTCGTGAAGAAGCACAAGTCACTCCTCGGTTTCGTACCAATATATCGGTGATCGCATTGCTTCAAGTCTGTTCTCGGCAAAGGGGCCCCATATTCTGGAACGGCTGATCATACCACTCAATATATTATCCTTGTCCGCCATTATATGATGCTTACGTTCACGCGTCAGCATCAATTGACTTTCCACTTGTCCAGGGTGCACCCCAGTTGTCGCGTGTAGTATGCTGTCTTATCTTTCCCTTTCCATATAGATGTACCGATATCCTCTCTCGAAGAGTTTTCGAGTGGGAAGTGTAGTGAGCGCGGCAATAACTGCCCTTGCTGCCCGACTGCCAATCATACCGATTTGGCTTTGTACTGACGTATGCACTATAGCATGGGATATGTATTGTATCATCCAAAGCTAAGTTACACTCACATCCCCATTCCGTTACTTCGCTGCAGTGTGTTGTCGTCTATACTGGCGCATGATATGTCGTTCTACTCACCCGCGAGACGAGTGTTGCTGCCTCAGTTCAATCCAGACCTGAAGTTGGCCATCAATTCATTCATCCCACCGATCACTCTGTTCCACGGTACAGCTGACCAGGTAAGTCATGCTCGGGGATGTTATTCTGTTAGATTGTTAACCAGGGATTGCTGCCTTTGGCCAGTTAGTGTGGTCAGGAATGTCAACCCAAGCCCATTCTCAAGTAATAAAGTTTTGAAGGAGAATTCTTTAGTCCCTGTCGTGCAATGTACTTCTAATGTCTGGCTTAGTCACTGTTGTATAGTGTATGTATAATTCTAGCTCAGCTCTGTCGATACTTAGACCTGTACTCTGTTAGAGCACCGCTGCTTGGTTTGTATATGGCTTGAGAGATGCATATAATAACCCAAATTCATAACGCTCTGGAGACAAATGCTCGTATGCTGTACTACTACTTTTGTAACTTGCAGCAGCATATACCGTTCCGTCGCGATAGATACAAATCGCAAGCATCATGAAACAGGCACAATAATCTGTTTCGAGTTTGTTCCGATCGAACGTTAAGATTTCGTTGTTGTTTCTGGTCAGTGTGGTGCTCTGAACGTACATTTTGAAGTCACAGCCCGCAAATCACAGTCCACATTTGGCACCCATTATGAGTTTGTGGTTGCATATATGCGCTAAACGGTAGAGAAGGATTGCTCAACATATCTATTGTACTAACTATTGCTATCCACAAATGTTCAATCCTTCTGTGCAGAGTATACCGTACTCAGCAACCACCGACTTCGCATCCGCTCTGCGCACTGCCGGAATTCATGCGCATGTTAAGTACTACGTGAACAAGTCACACACCGACCCTATCATAGAGGATCCAATAGGTGGAGGCTACGATAAACTTGTTATGGACATATTTTCCATTGTCATCAGCGGGGGTGATCTGTGCAGAAATAATCCGTGTATGCCCGAGAAAGATTCGCCGAAAACACCGACTCGCACTGCCAATGCGAGTTTCAAGGACTTGTCCGAGGCGGGCTCGAAGGTTTGTCTATCACTGCATAGTTTTTAAAAATATCTGAGCTTTGGATTCATTTCGCCTATTCATATACTATGCAAGGGGATATGGTGTGCTATAAATATCAGTTAAAACGGGCAGCTGAATAGTTTTATATTCTGTGTCATTGTAGCGGCTGGTCGTTGTGCAGCTCGTGGTGTATAGAACATTTGACAAGACGCTATTAAATTTGATTTGATTTTAGGGCATCTTATACCTGCTCATATTCTATGGACCAAAACATTATTATTGTTTAAATGCATGGCTTGTTGCTTTACTCAGAATGCTATGCCAAGCACATTGACGAGCGACCATGAGAAGCAGAATATGCACCGGATGGAGCAAGTTATCGAAAATCGACTCCAGACCGATCGGCCTTCAAGCCCGTGTGCCAACGTAGACCCCACGCAGTTTGGGTTTGAGCCTACAGAGCCCATGCTGCCGGAGTGGGTCATAAACTACGCACGCGCTGTAAATCCCTTCTGATTCAGGACTGAATCTATACTGTTTTATAGACGCAGATCTGATATACGACACTATAAAGATACGTTGTACGTTCTTACGAAACATTTAAATGATGTGCTTAGCGTACACCAGATATGTTTCAATGCGGGGGATTGAGCCCATTGCACGTACTTCATTAATTATCTATGGACAGTACAATTTTGGTTTGTGTTGTACCCATCTATTGATAGCCTTAATTTCACTCACTGTGACTGGTTTCGAGCGTCGCAACTAGTCATATGTGTATTTAAACATGTGGACGAGTCATGTATTCAAATCAACCCTTGAACTTCTGCTTAGTGGCGTTAATGACAAGTCCGGATTGAATTCGGTAACAACATCGCAAAGACCTCATATAAAGTCGAGCCATTTAAAGTTGCACATCTCAGGTTAGTAAACTCATCTACAGGTTTGAATTTTCCTATTCAACGCCTAGTCAGGAACGGGAAAGGTGCTGCACACGAACATTCATGGGTAACCCCTTTGAATAATCGAAATAGATAAATACACATCCGTACTACGTACCATAAATTGCGGGTAATATCTTAAAGGTGAGGATATACAGTATCCTCCACGAGCCTTTTAGATTCTCTCAACACGCCGTATATGCTACCGCATTCCGAAAATATGCTTTGGTTAGGTCTGAAAAGACGACATGCAAAATCTAACGTGCAAAGAAGCGCAAGCCACTCGCAGCGCCCACAATATAGCTCGTTTAAACACTCTGTGAGACTGCAAACCTTTCAATGGCAAATACATTTCGAGCATCACTATTTTAATCTTGTCTGAGAAAGTTATAAGAAACAATATAAATCACAAGCAAGCTGTAGTAGAGAACGATCAGTTTATTTATATGAAACCGGCTGCTCCAGCCCTGATACAATCGTGACACCACCCTCAAAGTAGCCGATACCCTTATGTTCGTCATATACATTACTTTAAGCACAAATCATTTTCACGGATGAATCCTTGCCCAAAACTTTAAATCCATTTGCACACTTGCCATCGACGATTCCTTTCTTCTCAACTGTAGGTTTGCCGTCTGCACCACCGCAGTCGTGGCCGAGGAAGATCTTCGCCTGAACGTTGCTGCCATCTTTCTCGACGCGGACAGATCCTTTTATGCCACTGATATCGACGTTATTGCAGCTATCACTGTCTCCTACTACTAGCGATTCTTTGATTTTGATAGGTACCACCGCCTTTGATGCTTTGCAGTTTTTGTCTCCAAGCCACAATGTTGCGTTATATGACTTACATTCAACAGAGGCGGCATCAACAGCGGCTAAACAAGCTAGAAAAGCAAATAAGAAAATCGCAATGGATCTCATAGTGATATTTTGAGGTGCGCTTCTCGATGTTTGTCAGGAGTAAAGAATGATATAACCCGAGCTACTTCGTTCTGCCTTTATAGTCGCGGCGAAGACCATCCTCTACAATAGGCTTCCCGGAAACATAAAGAACAACTTACTTATGAGGCTATTTCTACAACAGTTTCTACCAGAGCACGAGTTCGATAGCGACTCTTCTGAATAGGTAGGTCGAACTGGCGAGACAGAAATAAAAATTACTGCTGTATTGTCTATATTATTGCTCTATCCAGTTCCCAAGTAGTTAACTCCGCTATTAGAACCCAAACTGGTTGTCACATGTGCTCTGTATTGCCAAGTATCCACAAAGCAACCGACACCGTTTTCACAAAAATTACATCCGGTACTCTAATTTTGTTAGGACCTTTAGGCAAAAGGGCAGGTTGTTGCGAGTTGTGTTGCAGTGTTGCTCGTTTGCTCGGTGTTTCATGGAGTAGTTTATAAAAACGGATATCATAAATATTTATCTAAAGACTTCGAGAAAGCCAGAAAGACGAAAGTGCATGACACTAATAGTTCACCGCCAACTACCAAAAACAGGGTTCTTCATTCGATTGCTTTGTTGGTTTTTAGTACACTTCCTCTTTTGCGCATAAATTATTAAATACATACCGTTGTAGATACTAAATAGATTTCATGTTATTTCTTAATATTCAAAAATGGGTTGTCTTTCAGATTTTTCACATTCTGGCCAGAGGATAACTTGTATGCTGCATAACTAAGAGTCCACATCCTCTTGTTCATTGCTCATATAATAAACTGATTTGAATAAATAACCATCCAAGACAAGAGGGCAAAGCTCGGAGCTTTTTCTTGTGTGAATGTTGAAAACTAGTTTTCAATAATACTGTTGTGTTTTTGTAAATTTTATATGTTTTATCAAAATAAATAAATAAATAAATAAATAAATATATTGTTATTGGGTTCGTATTCGGTACCATGTTGGATTTGGTAGCTAAGTTGTGATTTGCGAAGTGTGAAGTGTGAACTCGGAACTGTGAGTGTGAAATGTGAACTACGAGGTGTTGCTCGTTTTACAAAATAAAAATAGAAGGGCCCAGGGACCAGGGGGTTGCCTTCAATGTTCAATCGCAGTGCAATGATTGGGTGCAAACATCACTCCATGAATCCGCGTCTCCGCGATAATATGCACATGTGCATTTTATCTAAATATCTACTGGAATCATGATTTATGAGAGTTGAATACGTTTGTTTTAAAGAAAATACTAAAAAATTATTTCTATTCATTTATGTCAATCATAGTAAACTACCTGTTTTTAACGTTATTTATTTTACCCTTTGAGCATAGCCTCCTAAAAATTGAATTTTAGAAGGCTATTTATATGCTTTTTAACTTTTTATATGATTGTCATTTATTTATTTATTTACGACTCATACGCACAGTAACAAGTCTCAGCTATTCTGAAACTTTCAGGTCGCAGGCCCTGAGAGGGTAAAAGACAGTCCTTTGATGAATTTATTTACTAGCATTTTTTAGTAGACTTACTTTTGTCACTTCACAACGTGTATATTTAGCGACATTTCGCGAGTCGTGAGTCGCTGACCGTCGTTTTTCATTTTCAAATACAGGAACATGTCGTTTATTATAGCTGTCGTATACCAGGTATTGGCTAACTTTTTGGGTGCTACAGAGGCACATGGCCCTGACAAAAGTGTTATTTTGTTTAAATTAAAAACGAAAATTTGCTATATTTAGACCATAATCCACCGAGTAAATACTAGGATTACTCGAAAACAGAAGCTGAGTGAGCTGACATACTCTCACTGACTCACTCAGCACTCTGGTCACTGCTTCTAAGTTCCATGTTTTCAATGAGTACCGAGAGTAACTATCAGTTATTCTATAACTTTAGGTTTTGTTTTTATATGATCTAAATAAAGCATTTCTTTATTTTACTTTACTATTATTTTTATGCTATCCAATATTCATCGAGTCGTTTAAAAAAAAAAGAGGTTCTGTAGCCGGCTTTCTGAAATTCTGATGGGTCATTCATAAAAAAGTGTTTGTTTTTGAAACAACAAAAGCAAAAATAACAAAATACTGGTATATTAAATAATAAAAAAGTAAATACATACATATGTATGTACTTAAATAACTACATACTGTACTTCGTAAATAAGTGGAGGCAAACAAGGCTCACAGCCTCACTGCCGCAGGAGAAATCTAGGAGACTTTAGTGACTCTATGTGCTCTGTGCTGAGTGCTGAGTGCTGAGTGTTGCCTGCTGAGTGCTGACTGCTGAGTGCCGACTATATGACAAAAAGAAGCGGCTTCAAATGGCACCAGTACTCATTCTTTGATGTTAGAGTACAACAGATTTTTGATATTTTAAATTGAACTTCCTGCGTCACAATTGTAGGGTCAACCCGATATACAGAGTTTTCTTCTCGGACGTGACGAATAAGTTTTATTAATGTAAAGCTACAAAGCATATAGCATATTTCATCAGCCTCCAGACTCTTTCTTTTAATACTGCAAACTATGAAAATATACTCCAGTCACTATAGATCGGAATGGGCATTAATTCTGACCTATTTTCAGCACCCTCAACATGGCTACAAAGTTGTCGATTATTTTTTATACGCGACGAGCTAAATGCATGCAAGTATAACACAAGATCGCTTTTTAGCTTGCAATTTGTAAAATGAAGTTCCATGCTTTGAGATCGATGGTATTCAGCAAATCATCATAATAAACCAAGGACACGTGTTGTGCCACAAGCCGGGGGAGGAAAAGCGAAGGAAAGTAATACTTTCCAAGTCTACCGAGTGTATCGAATTCAGTACACAACATGTTCAGGTGGAATAAAAAACGTCAACGATATGTTCCAAATCAGCACCGCTATACCTTTGTAAAGTTTTTCTCTACGCTCGAAACTCCTAGTGCGGCTAAGCCTGATTCTTGCCGTTGGTGTCAGCCATAGTTTGTATTGTAACGTGGTGATGATGTCTAGAGACAGTGGTATACGGTAAGCAAGGTATTTCTCGCATCAGTTTAAACTGAGTTTGTATTAGATAAATACCCGAGTAGGCTTCGAAACTATACCAGCCTTGCACTCTTTTCAAATCTACCCTTTCTTTGCGCCGTTTTCGCCTGGAAGTGTATCTGCCCTTGTTTATCGCGGAACTCATTCAAAATAAAACCCCTATACTTAATGTCGCTTATCCTTTTGTTCATATTACCCTGGCGTTCCAACACCATATTTAAAGTGTATTTATTTAGCACATATGTGCATCTATTCTAGGTGGAGCACAATTCTTCATTCTGTGCGTATCCTTTTATCTTTGTCGGTATCTAATATACTATACGACTCTTTGTCGCCAGTGATCTCTCCCGCCGGCATCGGCGGAGTATTTCTAGGCGTAGGTGTATCTGCATCGAGATCGATGTACGTATTGCGGATCTTCGCCCTTTTGTGGGTGTTGTTACTGTCTGTGCTTTCCTCATCTATGTCCGGTCGGTTATGCAGACTAGATGATTCGCTGGATATCGGGATACCACCAACAACCCCATTTGTCTCGCGTGCAATGGCAGGATAGCATTGCCCATCATCGGTTACTAAATGCGTCATCGCAGGTGAGCGAAGAGTCGAAGTTTGTATTTTCTCTGTGCACATGCGTGTATGAGTATGTGCGCTTGACAGTGTTTCTGTCTCCGAACTGGGAGCCCGTCTTGCGCTAGAAATGGGGCACGAATGGTCGGCATTTCTGAACTGAGCAGAGGCGCACTTCATGACAGGTGCAACATTTGTACACCCAAACACCGGTGTGGAAGGTTTGGAACTAGCCCTTGTTTCCAGCGTTACCTTCGCAGTACACTTAAAGGCAGATGTACTCGAATTGCTACACTGAACCTTCCTTCGTGGCAGCCATCCATTGTGCGCCCCGTGTTTGACAGCAATACTCTTGATGCGCGTGCTCGAACTCATACAGTGACTCTGTTTCTCAATTAAACGCGTATCTGCTTGCGGGTGAACAGACACAGCTTCTGTATATGCTGCTATCTGTTCCGATACACTCGGAGATTTCAATAAGTTCGCCACAGGTGATGTCGGCTGACGTAATACTCGTTTTAGCAAGTACGCGTGAGGAGGGACAACTCGTTTATAGTAGAATTTCACCTCACTGACGACCTTGAATCCGAAGCGATCGTAGAATTTGATGGCTTCCTATTCTCGGTGCGAACGTTATTTGAAAAGATTGAACGATGAATATGAGCAGAATGATGTCTTATTTATTCAAAAGGTAGCAACGCCAATGCACCTGGTTATGCTAGTTGAATTGTTACGAAGATTAAATATATGAGTGAAAGTGCAGGTTGGTATCAGTGATACCGCAGCGTAAAATACAATTCAAGGGGACCTATATCGTTGTTGTTTATTGGTGTACACAGAAAGGTTACCGGAATGCGGTTAATTCAGTATTGCTAAAGCACCCGTGGATAAGCTAACAAGCATGCTTTTCAATATATGAGAGTTCGTCATGTGCGCATGAAACACTGCTATCATATCTCAAAACGACTCTGAGCGATACACACGAGCATGGCGACTTGCCAAGTATTACCCGCGGATATATGACAGTGTGTGAACAACCACACACAGCCCGAAGGCACGACTTTCTATTGATGCGCTATGCGCAATCTATATATCGATATTGTCGCGAACTACATTGATTCTGATTCGAATGGCTTTGACAACATTGTAACCTATATTGTGCAAGTGGGCAGCAATGCAGACGCCTTAAAACAGCCACAGATACATACTTCGTTTGATATGCTGACATGCAGCACTATTTCACTTATGTTGGGGTTCCCTATACAAGAGTAGATGATGTGTTCTAGAAGCGTGGCGCCTGTAAGCGACAAGGACAAAAAGTATAAATTTCGGAGACATCATCGTTGCCACTTGAAAAAAACAGAAACAGTTCGCACGAGTAAGGGATTCAGCGTCACTGAACGGGAACCCAATGCATATATACAAAATTGGAAGAAGCTAGATCTTCTCAATGAAACCAATCTACACATAGTCGTTAGATATTCACTACGAGCTCGATATACTTCACACACGCACACATGAATAATACATACATACCATGTACATATACATATATATATATATATATGTACATATATGTACATGTATACGCATATATATA